GAATAAATAAACTATAGCACATCTACATAATAAAATATTATTCAGCCCAAGAAATAAGCTCTCACACAAGGAAAAGTTATGGAGGGAATTTACATGCATACTATCAAGTAAGAGAAGCCAATCTGAGAAAGTTATATACTGTATGATCCCAACTATTTAATACTCTGAAAAGGCAAAACTATGGAGTAAAAAGATCTTTGGTTTCCAAGGTTGGCGAAGAAAGAAAAATGAATAAGTAGAGTATGGAGGATTTTTAATTTAGTGAAATTACTCTATAAGATACTGCAAAGATGGATCCATGCCATTAAACATTTGTTCAAATCCATAAAATGTGTAACAACAAGAGTGAACCCTAATGTAAACTATGGTCTTCAGGTCATGCTATGCCAATTCAGGTTCATCGATTGTAACAACATATCAGTCTAGTGAAGGATGTTGATAATGGGGAGGCTACACATGTGTGAAGCAGGAAGCAGGGGAAATCATTGTGCAATGTGCTCAATTTTGCTATAAATCTAGAACTGTTCTAAAAATAAAGTGTGTGTGTGTGTGTGTGTGTATCTCTATTTATTTATGTATATGAATGGATGGTCATTGGGATTGAATCCAGGGGTACTCTACCTCTAAGCTACAACCCAAGCCCCTTTTCAATTATATTTTTGAGACAGGGTCTCCCTAAGTTTCACAGGTTGGTCTCAAACTTGTGATGGTCCTGTCACAGCCTCGAGTTACTGGGATTACAGACATGTGCTACTGTGCCTGGCTGAAGTATATATTTTTGAAAAGCTATTACAGGAATTCAGGCAAAAGATAATGATTGTTTGGACCAGGGATTTAAGATGTAGAGATGATAAGTGGTCAAATTTTGAATCTATTTGGAGTGTTGAACCAATAAAACAATTAATTTAGATGTAGAGTGAAAAAGGGAAAAAATGTTCCTCCCAAGATTTTTTGCCTGAGCAATTGGAAGAATGGAATTGCCAATAACAGAGATGAGGAAGGCTACAGATCAAGTAGGTTTGGTACATATTGAGTTTTGGGGTTTCCAAAAGGAGGAAGTTACTGATATTGATTACACAAGTCTAGATTTTGAGAAAAATATGAGTCGCTGATATACAGATGATATCAAAGTCATGAACATAATAAAATCATCAAGAAAGTATAGAAAAGGAATTAGCCTTGAGGCACTCCAATGCTGAGAATAGAATATTCTAAAATAAGAGTGACATAAATACGGAGGAAAACCAGAGACCTCAGTATCCTGGAAGCCAAATGAACAAAATGTAACAAAAAGGGAATCTTCAACTGTAACAAATTTTGTTGTTAGATTAAACAAGATGAGGTCTGAAAATTGACCATTAGGTTTAGCAATGTGTAGGATATTAGGTCTTCTCAGTAAGGCAAATTGGATGGAAAGGCATTGTCAAAGCAGGAGGTAAGGGGAAATCCAGATTGGAATAGTCTTCAAGGAAAATGGGAGGCTTTCAGGAAGTGAGTCATAAAGGATAGCAAATAAATGAAATTGGTGTCTGGCAAAATAAGAACAGATGTTCTATTTGTCTGCTTCAGTTAAGGTGGTAAAAAGAGCAGCACATGTGCTGAGTTTTTTCCCTATGTTTTAAAGTTTTTTAAAAAAATTTTTTTCCTAGTAGTTTTATAGTTTCAGAATTTTATTTAAATTTTTAATCCATTTTGAGTTGATTTTGTGTATGATATGAGATCAGGGTGTGATTTCATTCTTCTGCATGGGAGTTTTCCTGACACCACTCATTGAAGGGATCATCTTTTCCCCATTATGTTTTCTTGGCACCCTTACAACAATTCAATTTATCATAAACATTTGGGTTTTCTCCTAGGTTTTCTATCATCCCATTGGTCAAGGTATCTGCTTTTATGTCAGTGACATATTGTTTTGATTATACTTTAGAATATTTTTTGAATGTTTTTTGGAGGGTGATGCCTCCAAAAACAAATAAGGAGTTAGTTAATGTTACCATAGCCTATTAGCATCAGGTGATGAGTGACAAATGGAGAATGGGGAGAACATATTGATGGAATAGATGAAAAGCTTAAGAGAAAGGAATAATTCAAGGACAATTTCCGAGTTCCTGGCTATTTATTTAGAAATATCTGGGGATAAGAAGGCTTCTGTGGAAATAGTAAGAACTGTTTTGGAAATGTTTGGTTTGAGAGGCTTGTGAATAAGGCACTCAGGTGTTACTTCTGAAGCTTTGGTAATAGCTCTGGGTTCAAGATACAAACTTTGCAACTGACAATATACAGAAAATGGATGATCTCACATGAGTGAAAGTACACAACAAAGAGGAAACAAAGGTGTTAAACTCTTGAGATATCGCTAACATTTAAAAGTTGATTAGGAGAGAAGGAACCAGGATGTTCAATAAGGAAAAATTAGTTAAGAGAAGATCAGGATAGAGTATTGTAATATAGGTCATAACCACAGGCTTTCAAGCCCAATTTCAAAAAGGTGGTAATGGTAGCGAATAGCTAATGCTACTGAGGGGGCAAATAACTTGATGCCAATAAAGTATCCTTTGAATGTGGCATTACAGGGATGATTTGTAAGACAGACAATACTTACTCCAGAGGAGTGTTGAGGACATGTTGGTGTGGGATTAAAAGGAAAATGAGGACTTCTACCCTGGCAAGCATTGGCTAGATATTCCATAGGTCTAACTGCTACAAACAAGTAGATTCTCAAAAAAGCACATCTTTAATAATGTCTGGATTACAGAACATAAAGGAAACTCCCAAATCACAAGTAAAGAAATAAAGCCAACATTCTTACATTAAGCTTAGGTATCTGCCAAACTGGCCCTTGTTAGAGATTTCTATATTTATTGCAGAAACATTTGAAAATGCCCTTATGGGAGAAAGAATAACCTATTTAGATTCCCAGGTTTCCATAGATAAAGATCAAATACATGTGAACTCACAGATACTACAAAACATGTAAAGAGACTAACTGGCATGAGTGAGAAATCAATAGAATAGGTTTTAATTCCAAGGGAATTTAGATTCTGAATGATTAATACAAATTATCAAATAACAATGCTAAAAAATAAAAATGGAATCTCACACATACACACACAAAAGCAAGGTTATTAAATATTGCCATGCAGATATGGGAGAATGAAAGCTAAATAAAGTTTTGAAAAAAAAAATGGTGTTGAAAATTAAAACTTATGGTTTAAATATCAGATCACGCAGAATTGCCAAGACTGTATCAATACTAATTTAGGATTACAGGAATGTGGATATGAAAAAGAAACCCTGAAATGGTGATCTGGATGAGAAACAGTGTAGATAAAAGTGTATTTCCTCCCCTGTAACAGAATGGGATATACAGGTGAGCTGTTTTACCTCTGTGGACATGTGACTTCATCTTTGAGTCTATAGCAGTTGCTCCAGTCATCTTCAGCCATGATTCTAGGTGGCTCGCTACACTTTCCAGCCTACTAAAAGGGAAAATAGAGCATGATGAACAAATGACTTCCTATTTCTAGGGTGTGAGTTGTAGGTTGTACATATTACTTCTCCTTATATCAAAGTAGCCAAAATCTAGAGTTATGGGTATATGTAACTGCAGAAGAAATTTACTCTCATGTAGGGTGGCCATTTCTAACTAAAACCTGGGGGGTAGGATATTATTACTACAGAGATAATGGAGACATGGGCCTGGATAATAATAGCAATTTCTGTAGTAGCACAAAGTCTACTGGTGAAAGGAGCCAGGAAAGAAAGCTAATAGGATAGAAGAGTGGTGTGAGGAGTTCTGATATAGTCTGGATAAGTCACAGGAGAGATTATAAAATGTGGAGGAAAGAAAACACTGGGGGGAAATTGCTGAGAATTGTTCAAAACAGAGAAAAACAAAGTCCTTAGAAAAATAAAACACAAACATATATAACATACAAGCAAAAAAGAAATTCACAATTAAATACACTGTACTGACTACAAACATCGAACCAAGAAAAAAGAAAACAGAAAGAGATCACTTACAAAAGAACTATTAAGTATACTGACAATATCCTGCTTAATATCAACAATAAACATCTGAAAAAAGTAAATATATTTAATGTTAACTTAGAATCAGATACACATCAAAACTACCTTCTAACATTGACAAAGATGTTTGTGTACAAAAACTAAAAATGGTTGTCACCAAGACATTTTCTCCAAGGAAATTTCTGAACAACAAAAAAGATGTCAAGTAAACCAAGGCCAATATTAATATCTGAGGAAACAAAATTTTGGGATTTATACAATCACAGAACAAAACTGCTAAAAATGTAGGTAAATCAAAACACACTTGTCTGTATAAAATATGAATTATACTGTTCTCATTTGCTGGTTTTTTTAGAATAAAGAACAAAACTCAAACACTGGAAAATAACTTGTGAGTTTGGGATAAACAGCAGACTTAAGTCTATTATATCATTAAGAAAGGGGATTGAGATATTAAATAGTTTCAGATATTTTTAAATTAAATATGATAAAAGTTTTGAGAGTAAAAGCTCAGGTGTGGAACATCCCAACTGGTAGAGGGGAAAACAGAATAAGAAAATAAAAGAAACAATTTAGTAAAGCAAAAACAGCTGAGAAATAAAACATAAGAGAAATCAAACAAATAAACTTTTTAAAACTTTAGTTGTAGATGGACACAATAACTTTATTTTACTTATTTATTTTTATGTGGTGCAGAGGATCAAACCCAGTGCCTCACACATGCTAGGCAAGTACTCCACCTACCACAGAGATACAAACCCATCCCAAAACAAATAAACATTTAATAGGATGAACCACAAAATAAATATTTCTGGATTTTATAAAGTTTTCCGATATTTTCATGTTTATATACTTCTTTCATCTTTCCTCCTATCCTATACATGCAGTCCTAAAGAGATAAGTAGGCTACTAAATTCAATAGGAACTTTACAAGTACATAATATTTTTTAAAATATAAGAAAATGTACTGATTAAGGTTCCAATGCTGATTTTATTTATTCAAACATTAGGAGTACATAAAACACATGCCAAATATTGTACTAAACTCTTGGAAACAAAATAAATAATGGATATGGCTTCTATTCTTATGTTGCTTTTGTGTGTGCCCTTGGGCATTTCACTTCATCTCTTTCAGTTTATACACATAGAATATAGTCTTGGAACACAGATTAAATGAGATTAAATAAGACTATGTATGTAACAAATATACCATGGAATTTAAAATAAAAAATAATTAACAAATGATCAGTACAAAAATATATTTTAAAATGTTAAGTCCATATCAACCTTATTTTATCTTAAATAATAATGTTAGATGTAGCAATGAAGAAAGAGTTCACAAACTGCTAGTTCCTAAAACTAAAACCAGTATTAGGACTTGTCATGGCACAACTCTTTACTGAGTTGTTTCTTGAAATAAGACTCATGTAATTAACAGAAGAAGTTGTTTTACTATTTTTGGCAAATGCAATCTAAAAGATGGTCTATATCAATTAGAGCTAGAAAAAGGAATAAGACCATAGGTAATAAGAATTTGCTATTGTTCACTCAAGATTATTTTAGAAAGTGTACTTCCTGGGGGAACATTACTTTCCTCTGAAATTTTACTACAGAATAAAATTTTCTACAAGATAAGACCCCTTTGTTCTAATTTCATTTCTGGAATTAGAAAGTAACTTTCTGAGTAGCAGTACATTCCAAACACTCTTGTTATCAGTTAACTTGGATATGGACAAAAATGCCTCGATTGCTGGAAATTTATATATCCCCAGTAAAAATGACTAAATCATTCTGCTACTTGAGGAATACTCAAGGAAACTAACAAAATTAAGTTCCAACACTCAAAATAAATACTCCAAATGGTCTTCATAAGGCAGTCACTAAGGGAAGAACAATAAAATTTAATTATTTTAGTATAAACACTTCATTTAATAAGAAGTAACTGTTGCACTAAGGTTGTGACCTACTAACCTAATTAATGGCAGAAGTAACAACTGGATCTTCCAATTCAGAAGTTTGATTCTTTTGCCTTGGAATCCATATTAATATTCAAAGATATACATTTGCACTCACTATCCTTTAAACATTTTTTTTGTGTTGAAGTCAATATTTTAAATTAACATACTATGTGGTCTTACAGAGAGATTAGTAATTTGCTAAAACAAGAAACAAAACAACAATTTTAATTGCATGGTGAGGCAGCTTAACTGGTTAGAACACTAGATCAACAAGGCCAAAGTCCAGGGCTTAAACTCCAAGTAGGCTAATATGTTTTTCAAAATAACATTTCTGACACCACAAGTTGTTAGTTAAAGAAAACTCTTCACTGGAAGGGCACTAGGGCAGAGTTGGAACCAAACCAAACTAAGAGTAAACCATACTTAAAAAAAAAAAAAAAAATGCTTTCTCCTTTTCAACATAGAATTTTCGTTTTGTAAACTACATATTCAAATAACAAACGTTGCTCATGGAGAATTAGTGCTTGGCTTCAGACCTAAAACAGACCAAATGTGGTATTATGCACTACTCTGAAGAGCTAACAACAGGTCTGTCCAGATGCTAAGACCAGGAACTTCGAAATTTCCATCCTGCGCCTTGTAAGACTTGAGCGCAGTTAGAACCTCATCTTTCAGAGGTGGGGGTGCCTGGCAGAGGTTTTGCAACCTAGTGTACAACTCCTCCCAGGACACATCTTGAGACTCAGCTCCAACCCAAATGCCTTTCTGAAGGTCGTAGTGCAGACGTTGAGTCCAGTCAGCTAGAACACTCAGATAGGCATGAGAAAGTGCTGGGTAGCGACCTGCCACCAAAGTCAAAAGACCTGCCGGGACGTTGCGACAAAAGGCAGCCATTATTTCCGACTTCCCCAGAAGCCAGTGGAGTAGCTCTTGACTCCCCTCTTCAAGAATTCTGGGGCTACCCAGTTTTAACTCCTCTCCCTGGGGCTGGGGAGACATCGGAGGCTCCAACAGCGCCACCGCTATCACTTTCAGGAAGTTGTTCTGTGGCAGGCGCTCCCACAGGCTGCAGAGCAACTTGCTGGGGCCTCCCGCTTCGGTTTTGCCCACCTCCTGCAGACGCTCCAGCAGCAACTCAGCCTGGGTCTTCAACAGTGAGTCGTCCTGAAGATTCGGGTTCTCTCTGTAGATGTTGAAGCGCAGCATGTGGACCGCAGACCCGCGGCGAGCGAGGCTGGCCAGACTGTCTTGGAGCAGTTCCCTATCAGCATCCCGGACGCCCGCGCCGGGAAAGAGTTGCTGCAGCAGGTAGCGACAAGATGCATCCCCCAGGGCCGGGTTCTTCAGCAGGCGTAGAGACAGCAGGATGTCACAGCGCCCAAGGGCCTCAAAGTTCCTCAGTCCAGGGACTGGACCCACCCCAAGGCCGCCCTCCTTCCACAAGCAGTGCAACCGCCTTTCCAGAGTTGTGCGGATGCGGTCATGGCTGCGGAAACGCTGGTAGACGTGGCGCAGGTAGCGAGCCCACTGTAGAGCCCTTCGTACAGTCGCTGGGTCCCAGGTGCTTACGTGGGTGGTGCGGGAGACCGCCAAAACCTCAGAAAAGCGCTCCAGGTGCTGCAGAAGCGGTTCCATGTGGCGCGCCAAAATCTTACTTCCGCTTTCACCTTGGAGACGGCGACTCTCTGCGTGCTGATTGGAGCGTCTATGAAATGATACGCCCCTCTGCCACACTATTGGACAAAGTTCATGTCAATCTTACAGCGGCTTTATCCGGGTTCCCTGAATCTAGGAAATTTACACTGGAGAAAAGTCCTGAACTTTTGGCTTTTTCCAGTTATGGAAAAGGCTATTAGTGGGAAGCGAATAGTTGTGAGGCATCCATATTGACAGTTCCTGGACAGATGTTCAAAACGCTGCGCTTCCTTTCGTTTTGGAAATATCCCTATCCAGAAATTTTCTTGAGATTTTCCTGAAAGAGGGATCTGTATTGAGGCTTATCATAATTAGGTAATGCCAGAGACATGCTATTTCAAGTGAAGAAACGTTATTGAATGAAATTTTAATATCAATTTGAAAAATATATTGGTCTTTTTTATACTGGCTCTCTGCTAAATTCTGGGGCTTCACATTGTTCTTTCATTATTAGAAATGAAGCCTAGGTTAATTGAAAGAAAAAAGTCAACTTCAAGAATAATACTTTGTTGAAAATTTTAAATGAATATAAAATTTTATTCAAAAATTACACTATCATTGTTTTATAATTTCCAGAGCAAAATAGTTTTGATGACTCTTACTTCACAGAAATAATCAGCTGAAGGAAATGCCATTTAGAAGTACATAATAATAAATGTTTGCCTAAAGATTTCCAGAACAGAGAGAGGACCCATTATTGGGTGTAATTAAGATTATCTATTTCATTGATGGGTTTGACAAATACTCATTTTGCAAACACCTAGGAGTTTATTGTTTTATTGTTTATTGTTCACAAACCCACAACAGTTTTAAACTTAAGCTAATGATGTATGTAATAACTCATTAGAGAAGAATTTCCTTCCGGTCCTAAAACTCTAACCAACACTATTCTAAGAAGAGGGCAAAAGGTGTTGTGTTTTTAATAAATAAGGGAAAAAGAAATTTAAAAGGTAGAATAATTTTTCATTTATTAAAATAAGCATTCCAACACCTTTTAAAAATAAAGCAGTGGTGTCCATAATGATAATTCAGTTTTATTTGATTACTATCTGTTCCAACTCTTACTTGGTCCTAAAAGTAGTAATTTTACCCTAAATATATCATTACTTTTAAAGTCCTAGGTCTTGACTACTAGAAATTTAGATCTAAATCTACAGCCCACCTTTATCAAATGTGTAGGCATCAGTAATTCATTCATTCTCACTTCAAAAAAAACATGTATTCTTCAGGTCTAAAAGGGGCACAAAACCATTTAATTATAAAGCAGATCAGATTTTGTGTATTTTTTTTCTTAGACACTTCATAGGGGATTAATACTAGGTTTAAGTCTCAAAGTGAACAGTAATCAAAGAAAAATTCAAGTGACAGAAATATCAAAGTAAACATGAGGATATGGATGTGTATAAGAGTGCTGTTAACACTAGGAGCAATCTCCCACCTTTTGGTTACAATCTCTAAATAAGGTAAATTAGTACAGAGAATAGAAGGCCAAACATTTGGAGATTTTATTAAAATAAGCTGTCATTCAAACCATGGAACTTGAGTAACATAAACAACTAAGAAAAGGAGGCATTCTAATGGAACCTACTTTTTAGGCCCTAGGCAGAATTAAATGAGGCCATAAACATACGACAGTGGATTTTGTGGCCGCCTGTTACTATTCATTCTACTACCACCATTGTATAATATCCATGCAGTTTGGGATACTGATCCCAGCTCAGCTCAATGGTAGGGCCTGATGATTTTGAGCCAGTCATGTTAATCCATCCCTCTGTTAACAGTAATTAATTTAGAAACTTACCCTTAAACCTATCCATGTGTAACATTCCCTTGTGGCAGAAATTTGTTCAGTAATGGGCAGATGGATCAGTTCCATTCAAGTAGAGGATTCAGAGAGAGCTGTTTCTTACTTCAAAGTCCATGCAGATAAGCACTGATGAATATGAATAGACACCCCAAAGAGACTGTGTGTGTGTGTGTGTGTGTGTGTGTGTGCACGCATGCTTATGAGATAACTTTTCTCTTCTTGATGTTATTATATATGGATATGGAACCTAAAGCCACCATAGCATCTCCCCCCTATGGCCGAGATAATCTCAAGAGCAAATAAGAAAAATTACATCAATACAGCCTATAATCTAAACCAATTTAGGTTTGTGAAACCATAGTGCTTATACTAATACAAACACTTTAGAAAAGTTTGTGGTACACACAAAAACGCTGGCTATTGTTGTTGTTACTGTTAAAATAATGAAAACTTCCAAATACACAATTCCACATGTCTATTTCTAATCCTACTCCTTCCAAATATAAAACAGTAGTCACCAACATCATTCTGGGAAATGGTGGAGGAAATTTTATCAAAGATGAGGTTTGCTGTGGGAACGTTTATTCCTGCTTTTTGAAAACCTAATAAAATTTAGCTCAGTGTAATTATAACTTAAAAACTGAGTTGATCTCAATCTTTAAGTTATGTGTAATTCCAGGGTTATTTTAGATACGTAATAAGTCAAAATTATAAGACATTATGCAACTGAGATATCAATGAAAACAAATTATTCTGATGTCTTTTTATTCTACTCTGAACAATATTATACCAGAGTTTTCTTTCCACAATTGTAGCTACGTGAGGTCAACCACTGTTGGAAGATATTAAATGGAACATTCCAGAAATAAGCAATTTACAAGTTTAAAATTGCCTGCTATGCTGAGAGTATGATGAAATCTCATGCCATCTGCTTTGTTGGGCTTGGGATATGAATCTTCCTTTGGTCCATTGTATTTATCCTATATTTGCTAACCTTCTCCCCCATTTCTCACTTGTTCATTGTAATATGGGAGGCTAGAGTCATTGCTGAGATGGAGAGAAGTCTGATAATCCACCCTGTGGTGCTTTTTTTGGATGTGCACCACCACCAGAACATCTATTCAGTGGCTAGAGTGAGGATGCCTTGCAACCTAACCTGGGCATGCAGGCCCAAGAAGTTAGTGACTATCCTGGTATTGCAGTGCTTATGTTCAAGTAATTCAAGTAACACTTAATTTAATTTAATCATGTACCAGGGCACGTGAGTAGTGAAGCAAAGAATAAAACATGGAAAAGCAGATTAACTCTACTACTACATAAAAAAGGCTGCAGTACAAATGGGAAAAAAAAAAAAAAAACAGTGTAGATGGTGTTCAGCACTACCTTTGATTTCAGGCATCCACTGGGAATCTTGGAAAATATCCCTCATGGATTCAGAGGTCACCACACTAAATTCAACCCTCTGCTTGATAAAATAACATTTTCCCAATATGAACAAATATAAATGAACTCCTCACTTTTAGGCAGGATAGACAATAGAGGGCTTTGCCATCATTCAGGAATCCATGTCACAGCAGGAAAATATTTATCCTTTTATAATCACTCTGAGCACATATATGGGCAGGAAATACACTTGACTTCAGATTCATCACCTCACTCAAATCAGGGGTAAGAGCAGGACTCTAGCAGGAATAATAAAGAGCAAGTGGGCAGGATTTTTGAGAAATTTCTCGTAGAAACGTTATAAACATTGTATTTACTGTTTTGGAGAGACACTGTAAATTACCTTTCTAAAAAAATGAGAATACAATTCTTAGGAGAATTTACTTCAGTAGAATCACAACTTCTTCATTTCATTTGTTCCACTTACAAAAGAGGTAAAAATCAACCAATAAATTACAATGGATTAAGGACTTTAGGCATATAAAGAAGAATCTGATGACTAGGTTTCCAGCCTTATATTCTATGATACTACAACCCGTCTCTGATCAGTCTTGCCTTGTGTTACATGTTACATGGTATTACGACTTGATCAAACTGTAGAACCCCATTTGAAACCTTAGAAATATTAAATTTGCAAACCTAATAGAGAAATGCATATCATATTTACCTTTTATATTTTTAGAATTGTTTTCAGAAGGTTTGTAAGAGACTGTAACTAAACAAACATTTCTCTGGCTACTGAGTTTCTCAATCAGTGCATAGTAGAAAAGCTTGTGTCTTAAGAACTGATCTCCTTTGGCTTTGGAACATAGGAGGGAAATCTGGGAGGCCAGAGCCATTCCTGAGATGGGAAGAGTTCTGATAATCCATCCTGTGGAGCTTTCTTGTATATTTACCACCACCTGGACAGCCAATCCGTGGCTAGAGTGAATATATACTGCAACCCAACAAGGACTAGAGGCTCATGAAGTTTGTGAGAGTCCTATATGCTCAAGAAAAACAGAGCAGACCCTCATAAATTCAGAGAAAAGAGGTGGAGGAGGGACCAAAGGAGTGGATCATCTTGTGGGTACTGGTCTATGTGATGGGTCCAAATCTGTTTTCGTAAATTTAAGACAGAACTTCCTAGTTTAGAGTGTGTGATTTTTGGTCTTAAAGTTAGCATCAGAAAAACTGTTTTATCATTACATACATATTCTGAAAATTAGAATTCCATCAACAGTTTGAAATATCTAATATGTAAAAGTTTTGTTTGGAATTGAAATTTATTTGCATCCCCAGAGTAATATTGAATCTTATATTATCTTTATAGTGACTGAAAAGAAGAGCATTTATTTAATTATAATTTATCTGATTATAATTTTATGATTTATAAGAAATCTTACAATTTTTGAATGGCTTTATAGCTATTAAAAATGGTTTTGCCAATTTTATCAATAACATTTCTGGTCAACAGTGATTCTCAAGAATATGAAGAGAACTTTGTTCAAAAGTCTTGCTCAGGAATCGTGATTGACCATTTAAAACCTAAAAGCTACTATTTAAAATTACATTTGTGAAGAAGCTTGATTGTTTTCTTAAAAATACAAAGTTTTAAATTTGGAGAAATTTCATGTAAATTCAACATTTATTCATTTTTTTTTTTTTTTTACTTTTATTTTTTGGCAGTGCTAGGAAATGAACCTTCATACACACCCTACTTGAGTTCCACCACTGTATCACATCCCTTAAATTTAATATTTCAAATATTCTTTATTCATACTATCATACAAAGTAATTCCATTTTTTTGTTTTACCAAACATTTTAAATATGTCCCCCAAATCTTCTTTGTTTGACTGATTACCTTGTGTTTCATGTGGAGAAAGGGTTAGAAAGCTCTGCTCTAACATAAGCATTCTAGCACAACCA